GATTAACTACTAGTGGTTCACCAGCCCGAATATAGCCCCAGATGTTGGCTTTTTGTCTTTTCACTTTGATGGGAAAACACCGTTAAGTGAAGGTAGTGAGTGGAGCTTCCTCGGCGGAGGCAAGTTGAGGCGCTTGGTTCTATGGAGGCGTTTCATGAGATGCAAGGGACGGTAATCAGCCGCAACCCAAGACACCTCTACCATACTAAGGCTTCGGAGGCTCTTCACTCGATTCTTCATCCTTGAAGGCTTAGTTTGTTAAATCCTCTCCTGAAAACAAGTATATATCTGTACGGTAAATTAAAAATGAATAAACATAAACGTGATACTAGTATCATAAAATAGTGTAACCATATTTTTGTTATTGCACCTGTCGTGTGTCAAGATATATTCTTTCCTACTTCCGATGATCGATTTGCAGTGTTTTTCATCTTCACATAACTCCATTTACTTTTTTCAGCAGTGAGCGATGACTACAGCTGCACACCATCACTATGGTTCTCTTGTGTTCAAGATTGCTTTGTTCGTCAACTTGCTCAGTGTTTTATTCAATGTAGTCAGCGATTGTGACGAGACGTACAACTACTGGGAGCCGCTTCATTTTATTGTAACTCAAGGCCGTGGGGGTGGATTTCAAACATGGGAATACTCACCAACCTACGGGCTACGTTCCTATCTCTATCTCTGGCTGATTGGTTGGCCCGCATTCCTGATTGCACAGCTGGGTTGGCCAATGTGGCTGGGCTTCCTGTTGGTTCGTCTACATCTTGCTCTGTGGTCCACGGGCGCGCTAACGTTCCTGAGTGTTGTACTGGCTCGTTTAGTCCCCGCCAACCTCTCGGGAAAATCTTTTGGACTACCTGTATCCATTTGGTTCTGTGGATTCTACGCTCTATCCCCGGGAAATTTCATATCGGCTACTACATTTGTTCCGAGTGGGCCAGCAACCACGCTTTGTCAACTGATGCTTGCATTTTGGCTGTCCGGTCACATATTCTTAGCCGTAGGTTGTGTAGCATTGACCGGTATTATTGTGTGGCCGTTTGCCGCCTTTCTCGGTGTTCCTTTAGCATTATCGCTCATAAGCAGCCGTCGCCTATTCACTCTGATATTTTACGCATGCGTATGGGCTGTTGCACTGATTCCCATCACCTTATTGGTTGACTCTTATCATTTCGGTCGGTTCGTTTTAGCTCCGTTG